ATAGAATAGAATAGAATAGAATAGAATAGAATAGAGAATGGAATGGAACGGAACGGAACGGAACAGAACAGAACAGAACAGAACAGAACAGAATAGAATAGAATAGAATAAAGAATGGAATGGAATGGAATAGAATAGAATAGAACAGAACAGAACAGAACAGAACAGAATAGAATAGAATAGAATAGAATATGGAATAGAATAGAATTCTTTGTTGGCCAAGTGTTATTGGACACACAAGGAATTTGTCTTTGGTGCATAAGCTCTCAATGTACATAAAAGAAAAGATACATTTGTCAAGAGTCGAGAATCAAATAATTAAATAAATAAAATAAATAAATATATCATAAGGTACAACACTTAATCATAGTCATAGGATACAATAAGCAATCAAATCATACCAGGAAACAGTCAATAAAAATAATTACGATACAAGCAACAAGGTTACAATCATACAGTCATAAGTGGGAGGGGATGAGTGATAAGGAGGGATGGGAAGGTTAATAGTAAGAGTAATGCAGACTTTGTAAATAGTTGGACAGTGTTGAGGGAATTATTTGTTTAGCAGAGTGATGGCGTTCAGGAAAAAACTGTCTAGTTGTTCTGGTGTGCAGTGCTCTTTGAGGGAAGGAGTTGAAACAGTTTATGTCCGGGATGTGAGGGGTCTGTAGATATTTTCACAGACCTCTTTTTGACTCGTGCAGTATACAGGTCCTCAACTGAAGGCAGGTGGGTAGCAATTGTTTTTTTCTGCAGTTCTAATTATCCGTTGAAGTCTGTGTCTGTCCTGTTGGGTTGCAGAACCAAACCAGACAGTTATAGAGGTGCAGATGGCAGACTCCATCATTCCTCTGTAGAACTGGATCAGCAGCTCCTTGGGCAGTTTGAGCTTTCTGAGTTGGCGCAGAAAGAACATTCTTTGTTGTGCTTTTTTGATGACGTTTTTGATGTTAGACATTATTTCCAGCCTGAGACAATCTTGGGGGAAAAGGCTGCAGCTTGTTTGGAGACGTGTCTGACTGCCCCCTTCCCCTTCCCCATCAAGAGGTCCAAATTTTGTATTGCATTTTAGAATTACTCATGTGAAGAACAAACTGCTGGACACCTTTTAAATGCTATCAGTAAATCTGATCAACAATGTCTGAATAAGCTCAGAGAGATATAATAGGAATGTTTCCATAACACAAGTTTTAATTGCATCAAATACAATGGTGGAGTGACAGGCAGCTGTGTTTTTACTCAAGCTGAGCTGTTTGACAAACCTCCTCCTCCATTTTCCCAGCTCATTGCGGACTCTCCAGGACAGGGAGGCTGATGCGCGCCTCTCCTGCAAAGCCTGCCCAAGCAAAGGGAGTTGCACAAACATTTCAAAACTAACGTTGAGAAGGACTCACGAGTGGAGTCACAAGCAGGAAGTGCAGTCAGCGTATCTCCCCTTTCCTCTCTCTCTCTCTCTCTCTCTCTCTCTCTCCTCTCTCCTCTCTGGAGGCAACAAATGCTGGGTCCCTATTTGGGGGGAGGAAGGGGTGATGTCAGAGGCCACAACTCCACTCTTTCAGCCTTGTGACAAACCAGGAAGGGCCACGGCATTAAATCACGGAAGGAGCAGTCTACCAACTACTGGCTGAGTGTCGCCCTTTAGGGAGGCGGATGACTAGATGGTTGAAGGCTGGATATGACCCAGAAGGGCCTCTCTACTTGCTGGCTGCCACTTGCCCAATTCTTCCACCTCTGCAAAGGGTGCTGGAGTGCAGAAGAGTTGCTCTGCCCTTGTGGCTACTCTTGGCACAGGCCAACCCCCCCCCCACCCCTCAGGCTGCGAAAGAGGGGAAGGTAATGCCATGGGAACAGGGCAGAAAAAAGGGGGCCAGCCCAGGTTTTCATTATGATTGGGTGAAAGTGGGGAGAAGCTCCTGGAGGGAAAACCTCAGTCCAGCTTGGAGGAGCCCCCCCCCCCGCTTCACTGCCAGGTGCCATTTGATGCCCTTCCACTGTGGGGCTGAGGGAAGTAGGGTTAGGCTGCTTGGGAAACTGGTGGCATCACCCTTGAACTGCCCGGAGTGAACTGACGGGGAAACCGCCTTGCTGATACGGATGGCAGACATCAGAAGGAACCCAGAGCTGGTGGAAACGGTGCCTCTTTCATTGGGTTGAATGCATAAAATCTATGGGAAAGAGTCAGCTGGGACTGGGTGGGAGGCAGAGAAGAAATGGGGTTGGCGGGGCCAGTCAGAGGTGGGATTGGCCGGTTCTCTGAACTACTCAGAATTTCCACTCCCAGGTCTCCAGAACTGCTCAGAACCTGCGGAAGGCCACCTCTGCTGGGAAGGCAATCCCTGCTGAGACCAGCACAGTCAGGACTGAGGATTTCTCAAGGGGGCCACTACAGAGATGAGCAATCAGGTCCCCTTGGCAGCAGGTTGCGTCTAGGAGGAAGAGCCTGTGGGACGGTCCCCTGTCCTGGGCGGAGTGGACCTTTTGTTCAGGAACTGCTGGTGGCCACCGTGACAGTCAGCCCCAGGTGATGCCTCTACCCAGGGGGAAGCCTGTGCTGTCCAGACATTTTAGAGTTAATGGGATTTGGGATAGTTAGTTAGGAATTGAGAGCTGTCCCCTGGGAAGCTGTCCCCTGGGAAGTGTAGTTCATGTCAGGTGGTCACATCTGTAATCCAGATTGGTCACTAAATTGACCCTTATTGGGTTGGAGGAGGCTCCCTCACTCTTGTCTGGATCCACCATACCATGCAGCTGCTTCAACCATCATGGGGATGAGAGTTCATTATCTTTCTACACCACAATTCAGATATGCAAAGGATTGGACATTAAGAAGAACCTCGTCATAAATGTGAGTTGATAAGGATGCCCGATGAACCAATAAAAAAGACTTTGTGTGGATGGTTTGTGAAATTACTCTGTCTGCTTTATGCCATCCAGACCGTAATAAGCAGAACAGCAGAAATATCCTGGTGGGGGAAGCAAAGCCCCCCCCCCCGGGAGCCTTCTGTCCCTTGGCTGGAAATGGGGAAGGGCTGCTCCTCGGGATAGAAAGCTAGGGGGTCCCTGGTGGTCTCAGAGCTTGGTTGTTTTCTTGCGGATGTTTCATCACCCAGTTAGGTAACATCATCAGTACTAGTGCAGAAAAGCTTGGTCGGTTTCTTCTTTCTCCCACCCCTTCACACCTTGCCTTCCCCCCAGTACAACTTTGGGGGCAGAGCTCTGCTCTCTTCAACTCCTGGGATGGCTGGAAAGACGAGCAGATAAACAGCCAGAAACACCAAGAAACAAAAGTGCGGACAAAACCGACATTGCAACCTGAAATACGATT